TTTTAACTCTCCTTTTGTTAAAATTTTTTTATCAAATATAATTTTAAATTATTCATTCACTAAATATTTATAATAATTAAGTGTTTTTAAACTATGCCCTTTACTATTTTGTTTTTCTTGTAAGATTTCAAAATATTTTTGCAAGTTTCACTTTACTTGTAGACCGTAATATATTATTTTGGATTCAATCACACTTACATTTGTCTTTTTAATGTATCATATAGAATTTTTTTTCAAAATTGATTCAGGATAAGTAATCAAAATATTTGACCAATTGATCAGAGAATAAGTCATTAATTAAATTTTGACTCAGTTTCTATCAAGCTCTTTAAAAAATTATTCATATCATATATACTTTATTTATAAATTCTAATAAAATTTATAACATTCCTTAAAAAAAAGTATAATTAATACTACATATAGAATAATTAAAATATATAATCTCACCTTATATTACCTTTAAAATATTAATATTTTGTGTTTAAAATTATTATATATATACACTATTACAAAAGATGTATTTTACATCTGGTATTTCAGGGGTTTTACGTCGGTTGAGTTAATCAACATAAATTTACATTAGACATCGCCAAGGACCAACGTAAAATGTGACACCCTTCTACCCCATAATAAATAAGTAACAACAATAAGAATAATTCAATAAATATAACATCAAGAAGGGTCCACATATTTTAATAAAAACTCATAGGTTCACAAGTCTTGAAATAAATAGAAATAATAATAATAATAAAGTTTTACTCTTAAAAGAAAATTATCAAGGTCTCTAAAGAAAAATGAAAGGAATCCAAAATTCACAAATATAAGGTTAATATAAAACTCTTAAAAATAAGTCTCCTCCAACGACAAATAACAATTCATAACTAAAGCATCCTAAATTCGCAAATTGGGATAACCCATTTCGAGTCCGACACAGCCTCGACAACGGTGCATATAAACTTGAAGAGATCTCGGGCAAAGTCATCCCAAGAACATGGAACGCATCACATTTGAAAACATACTATAGTTAGTTCTTGTAATACGATGACAATGTAATCACAAGAGTGCACTCTTTTCCTTGATCGGTCTTTTCTTCCCTTATAAAAAAGTGAAAAAGGTTTTGGCCGACAAGGTTTTTAACGAGGCACATCATATTAATGAAACACATTTCAACTCATTCTGTGTATTATCTTCATTCAAGCTGTTACAAAAAGGCTTCCCTCCCGAGTTGATCAACTTGGCCAAGGATGTGCCTTCGGAAATTCACGCAAAAGGATTCCCTCCCGAGTTGATCAACTCGGCCAAGGATGTGCCTTCGGAAATTCACGCAAAAGGATTCCCTCCCGAGTTGATCAACTCGGCCAAGGATGTGTCTTCGGAAATTCACGCAAAAGGCTTCCCTTCCGAGTTGATCAACTCGGCCAAGGATGTGCCTTCGGAAATTCATGCAAAAGGCTTCCCTCCCGAGTTGATCAACTCGGCCAAGGATGTGCCTTCGGAAATTCACGCAAAAGGCTTCCCTCCTGAGTTGATCAACTCGGCCAAGGATGTGCCTCGAAAATTCACGCAAAAGGCTTCCCTCCCGAGTTGATCAACTCGGCCAAGGATG